TTTAGGAGTGGTGTAGCGACTCTTGACGAGGCTATTGGCAAGAGAGGTGGTGAGGCCACTCCCTCCAACCTAACTATAAGGTTAAAGGTAACGGTAATAATTATAGCATCTTGTCACATCAACTTTTTGAATGTCACCTTATTTTCCTTAATTTAGCATCTAATCTTAGCGTTTGGTAGATCTATTTCTATCAAATCCAGATTTTATGTCTTCTTCCTCCCAGCAACTAGTTGCAGCGACAATCTCCCATTTTCCATTTTCGAGCTTAAAAATTGCGATTTTTTTTTTCCGAAAGCAAGTGACTAACTCAAATTTGTGGAGAGGAGATTAACGGAGGTAACAGCAAACCGGAGGTGAATCACAAAAAAAAAAAAAATAGAAAAAGAAAATAACCAATCAGATTTAAGCTCTTCATCATCTCTCATCTCGCTAGCTTCTTAACGAGTTATTTATTTTGCGTCCTTTAGCGAGCTGCCGGGGATGGTGTAGCATTTAACAGCGAACCTTTTGGCGAGAGAGGTGGCGAGGCCACTCCCCTAAGCCTAAGTATCATCTTAACCAATTTTAACCCTCTAACATCAATTTAATTAAATTCTTACTTTTGATTTGACATAATTTTGTTTTGTTTTGTTTTGTTTTTATATATTTTAATCTTATTATTATTATTATTATTATAAATTTTGATAACTATATACAATTCGAACAACATTATAAATTCAGACGACATTATAAAATTCGAACGAGTGTATAAATTGGAACAAAAGTAAATGTTGTATTTATTTTAGAAACAAACATATACTATTAACGTTTATTAATAAATTGCAATTCACCCTAACCATCATGCAATAGTTGATTTACAAGGAGTATATCCAATGTCTGATGTTTTGTTCAGGCTTCTCCGTATCTACAAATCAGAACATTCGGTATACCCATGCAATAGCATGGGTATACGATGACTTGACTAAATATTATCAATATGCATAACGCACCATACAAATATAATACCGAACCAATTAATATTCGTGATAAGTAAAAAGACAAAATTTGATTTTCTTCCTTTTTATATAGCTGTTCAAATTTTATTGTTATGTCATCCAAATTTAGAATGTCGTCCGAATTTTAAAATGTCATCCGAATTTTAAAATGTTGTCCGAATTATATACGGTTATCGAGATTAATAATAATAATAATAATAATAATAATAATAATAATAATAATAATAATAACGAATTAAAAACAAAAAAAAAACAAGGGTTCATTTATTTATACCCCATTTCCACTTATCCCTACCCTTTAATAATTTCTCTAATCATTAGTTTTAGTAACTAATTTAATGATTACATATTTTTACTACTCATTAGTAGTCTTAATAATTAATTTAAGATTAATAGTTTTTTTTTTAAATCACAAATAAATCTAATTATTATAATATTATTTAGTTTATTATAGATAACTTATTAAAACTATTTTTATAAATAAAAATATATATAACTATTTTTATTTTATTAAAAAAATACGACAACAATAATAAATTAATTTTTTGACGTAACAAATAAACATAAACATACACATACACATACACATACACATTTAAATACGGATACATGTAGACACATGCACAGATAGATAAACATAAACATACACATTCAAATACACACACATTCATACACATACATATACATATAAACATACACATATACATTCAAATACACACATATACATACCCACATACACATACACACATACATTTACATACGCACCCACATTCATATACATACAAATACACATACGTTCATACATGCATACATACACATACAAATATACATATTTTCCTTTATTATAATCAGTTTTCATTATAAAATAGATTATTTATTTTAGATAAAACTTCAAAAATGGTCCCTGTGGTTTCCAAAAATATCAAGTTTAGTCCTTAAGTTCAAAAAACCTCATAGATGGTCCCTGTGGTTTCAAAACTTTTAACAAATGGTCCTTTTCGCTAACTCCGTTAGTTTTTGGCCGTTAAGTGAAGGACATTTCTGTCATTTCACTACCACATGGACCATTTATGAAGTTTTTGCCTTATTTAAAAAAAAAGAAAAAAATATAATTATTTAATATTAAAGTCTCTCTCTCCCTTTCTCATGATCGGTCTTCCTTCCTTGAAATCGCAACCCTCATTGCCGATTCTCAACCCTAAGAGCACACAAATCAATAATCAACAAACGAAAACCCAAATCTATCACCAATAAATCGCTTATCCCCTTGAAATCTACTCAAAAATCTGCAAACATACGAAGGAAGACATTTGTGGTGGTTATTAGCGAATTGAATTTGGTGTTTAGACAGGAGAGTGACGCGTAATTGAATCTAGATACCCTAGCCAGAGAAATTAGGGCGACATCGTCATATATGCCGGGAAGAAGAGGATCATTTTCTTCCTCAAAGAAATACTCTGAGGAATAGTTGTTTGTCTTATAACAAGAGCTCATTAGCTTCTTGATATCATAATCTAACCTTATTTTTGTATACCCAAATAATAATATACCCCAAAAACTTAAGAAAAAAAAAAACCCAATTTCAATTTGCTATACCTCTTTTCCTCTGTAAACAGAATCCATGTTTGATATTTCAATGCAATTATTCATCACCATGTTCGTCGATTTATGCAAATCAGAATAACATGAAAGCCCTGGCCTCAAAAGAGAACCCAAATATGCATCACATATCAACGTTCCCCCATTCGTGTCGATCAAAATTCATCAAAAAGGTGAAAACCTTTCAACCGATTTTTACATCATGAAGGAAAACATTGAATCAAATTGAACTGATATAATCAGCGTTAAAGATAATTGAGATCCAAACATAATAGCGGTGTGAGAAAATCTAGATCTCACCGTGAAACCATCACGAATCCCGTCGATGAGACAATTGCCGGAGATTACTAAAAGTCAGATCTCAAAAGTTAAAAAGACGACGTCGGCACTAGAAACAACTGTGCACATGCAGACATCTCGCAGCGAAGCCAATGCAATCCAGTTATATGTTTTACTTTGTGTGTGTTGAGAGAGAGAGAGAGAGAGAGAGAGAGAGAGAGAGAGAGAGAGAGAGAGAGAGAGAGAGAGAGAGAGAGAGAGAGAGTGGGTGGGACCCTTTAATATTAAATAATTATATATATATATATATATATATATAAGAGAGAGAGAGAGAGAGAGGGTGGGTGGGAACCTTTAATATTAAATAATTATATATATATATATATATATATATATATATATATATATATATATATATATATATATATATATATATATATATATATATATATATATTAAATAAGGCAAAAACTTCATAAATGGTCCATGTGGTAGTGAAATGATAGAAATGCCCTTCACTTAATGGTTAAAAACTAACGAAGTTAGCGAAAAAGACCATTTGTTAAAAGTTTTGAAACTACATGGACTATTTGTGAGGGTTTTTGAACTTAGGGACTAAACTTGATATTTTTAGAAACCATAGGGACCATTTTTGAAGTTTTGTCTTTATTTTATTTGTGTAATCTATTAAAAATAATACATAGACTATGTTAAATAATTTTTTGATAAAAAGTTGATGTTTATTGTTTAAAATAAATCAATATACGTAGAAAAGATATAAATATAAGGGTATAAAATTTCATATCTTCAAAATAAATAGGTTGTTCACGTAAAACTATATGTAGAAATTTCTTACTTTCTCTTAACCATAGTAAAGAAGGATGCAACCACCAAGAAAGAGTGGACTAATTTCCGACAAGTTGCATGCGTTTTCCGGCAATGTTTCACGGCGGCTTTTAGCGATTTACGTTGACATTCAAGCGAGTTTCACATGTTAACTGAAGCTACGTCTCTTTGTCTCCTATCGACGATAATGATGACTTAAATTTTTTTTTTTTCAAGTTAAAACATGACAAACCATTAATCTATTAAAAATATTATAAAAATTGATATTTTTATTTCTATTACTTCATGCTTATGTTTGGAATAACACAAAAGTTATAAATACGACAAATTGAATATGATAGGAAAAAAAGAGAAACAAAAAATATTTAATATATTTATGTAAAACAGATGGGCACACAAAAAACAAAAAATAAAAAAATAAAAGCCACAAATAAGTTTTATGAACGCCAATAAAAAAATAAAAAATTTTGAACAATAGTTCGTCCTTGCATTTTTAAGGTCAATGATTAGCCCTAACTTTTAACAAAAACTATAAAAAAAAAGAAATGTAAGTAGCTCGTAAAAAGAAAAGAAAATAAAGGAAGTAAGATGTATCAATTGGCTCAAAAGTGAAGTATGGTATATGTGTGCAGTAAAGTTACCAAACTTTTAATAATTAAGGGGGTAAGGTTATAAAATATGGGATATTAATAACATCAATAGAGAAAAAAAAATACAAAAAGATCTGATCGAGATGAAATTAAAAAAAATGGGGATAATAGGGTGTTCAAATGAAAAATTGGGGTGTTTTTTTAGTCAACCCCGATTATATGCTAGTCTATGACGCTATGACAATGAGTGTACCATGATTACGATGATTTGATGCTTTGATGATGAGTTTATGATGATTAAATATGTTAACATATACACATTTGCATCCCGTGCATATAGTTCATAACAATATAACTTTTTGTAGTCCAAACATCTATCATGTTTGTGGGCTTCATCACTTATGCAATTTATATGTTCTTTGTCCCGTTTTCATCACTCATGTCCCTTGTATGTTCGTGAGATTTTATATGTGGTTCAGATAATTTTTAAGTTTTTTTTAGGTTTATCGAGGATGTAAAAAATTCTAGATAAATTTTCATTAGTGATGGTACATGCAGGATGAAACAGACTCATGACTCATGAACATTAAAATAGACCAGGGATGATTTTAGAATTAGAAATTTACTATACAAGCATGCAAAACATCATAATCATTATAGTCATATAAAACTCATCATCAAAACATCAACACACCATAATCACCATAAATTTATCATCAAATTATCATAAACAACAACCAAGTTTAAACCAAAAAAATGCTAAAATGTTGCATATTTTGTGAAACAAAGCCAATCCACGAGTTAACTTGAAAACTAACAAGGCACCCACTATTTTTTTTCCAAAAAATTAAAAGTTTAGGATAAACCCGGAAAGATGAGAAAATGTTGACTCTTTTTTAATGGTCACAACAGTTCAGGGGTTCGAAAGCTATAAAGTAAAATTTAAGGGCATAATTGAAACTTATCTTTTCCAAAACCCTGCCTGCCTTATCTTCAGAACAACGGTGCCACGAAGTTATCGGAAAACTCGACACCGATGGCAGCTCCGATTACTACCAGCACCTCATTATTCTCCCAATCTTCGTTATTCACGCTCGCTCTAAAACCTCAGCTATATTCACCGAAATCCTTAATTCAATCAACTCACAGAGTCTACCATACCGGAGTTTCCACGTCGCCATGTCTATTAAATCGAGCTTTAAGGTTTCATCATGTGCATCACAGAAACAAGGAAGCTTTGAAGAGAGGCCTCTCTTCGGTTTGTTTCTACAAGAATAAAAATTCTATAAGTGACAAGGTAATTTGTTTTTATTTGGTAAATATATTGGGAGTTTTGTCGTTTAAAAATGCTAATTTAAGTGAGGTATTACCAGGATGCGAAAAAAAAAATCGTAATTTTATGGATTCAGGCCTTGTTCTGTTACTATCTAATTCAACCAATTCGGAAATCGTAAATCCATTTCACGCATTTAGGTTACCCTACGTTTCTCAACACGAATCTACTTTCAAAAGTTTGATAACACTAACTATAGCTTCCAATGGTGTTAATATCAGTGCTAATCAATATCAAATAAATCCAACCTTTTCATCAACATATACATATAGTACATTGTGTCAATTTTGCAGTAAAAGCCTTTTATACGACAATCTTTATCATGAATTTTCTGATTCTAGTTTGTAAATTTGCAAGTTCTGATTCTGATTCAAATGATGGAATGTTCTTCAGGGAAGTGGATTAGACTGGCCAATCCTACAACGATGGGATGTACCATGGGAGTGGTATACAGTTTCACTGACCTCACTTGCTTGTGGACTAGGGTAAAACTTGCTTATCTTTGTTTCCATGAGTCCTACTTTCCTTATAAACCCTAATTTCATCCATGTACCTTGTATCATATGCATTAAAAAAGTTATCAAAATTTCCTATAAACCCTAAGTGAATGTAATGTTTGCCCAGGCAGTTTTGTTTTGACAGGGCTTGTAGAGGCTGCAGCTCTTCCATATCTTGGCCTTCAAATTGGAGAATTAAGTCTTGATGAGAAGGCAGAAATACTCTTTTTTGATCAGGCGTATGACTTCTTAGTTCTTCATTTTATTTTACTATTAGATTGTTGAATTAACTTCTTATTAATATATTAATTTGCCTTGTTTCTTTATGTTTTTCAGATTCACAACAGCTGTTGTACTTGCAACACTTTATAGTGTCACAAACAGAAGTGGACAAAAAGACTTGTATAGCTATGGTAATTAGTTAATTATCACTTTATCAGTCATAAGTCATAAGTCATAACATATTGTTTTCTTTTTTTTTTTTGTTACAAACTTATTGACATTTCATCAAAATAATTTTCCAGATTGGAGGAATCCTTTTGATCTTCAAAAAGGATGGCTTTTATGGGCTGGAATAGGCCTTGTTGGAGCCTTGATTACTATCTCACTTACTGGAGTTGCCATGGCCTTTTTCAATGGTGAGCCACCTCAAAGAGAGGTCAGTCAATCTATATATTATATATAAAAAAAACTCATTTATAATTATAAAATTTTAAATTTTAAAAAAAAAATCATTAACTTTGTTCCAGACTGATGCTCTTGTACGCTTGCTTCCTTTGATCGGATCCTCAAGTGTCAGGTGCACAACTGCCTTTAATTCTTTTAAACACATCATAAAGTATAATTGGATATTGTTTTTTTATTATTATTATTATAAATAATCAAATAAACATTTGTGTGTGTGTGTGTGTGTGTTGTAGTACTATATGCTTGTTAGGTATCACAGGTGTTCTAGCTCCAGTTCTTGAAGAAAATGTGTTTCGTGGTTTCCTTATGGTGTCCCTTACAAAGTGGTAAAACTATAGCCTTTTATTTTTGTTCTGCATATATTTTTTTAATTATTTAAATATTATAAAAAGTAAAGTACATTGTTTAGAATTATAAAAAGGGTAAAGTAAGTTGCTATTAATGGTGTGACTTATGATGATTAATCTCTGTAGGGTGCCAACACCGATTTCAGTTCTTATAAGTGCTGCAGTGTTTTCAGCTGCACATCTCACTCCTGGGGAGTTTCCACAGCTCTTTATACTTGGTATTATTTCTGCATACATTAAATATAAAAAATAATAATTTGAAGCTTAAAATGATGTATTTGGATATTAAAATGTTGTATTTAATTGAAAATGGTGGTGATATAGGAACTGCTTTGGGATTTTCTTATGCCCAAACTCGAAATCTTCTCACTCCCATAACAATACACGCACTTTGGAACTCGGGTGTTATTGTATTGTTGACCATTCTCCAAGTAAGTTATTTAAAAAAAACATGAAGGGTAATGTAGTCATTTTATGTATGGAGTTGTGTCAAAATCGTTGTGAAAAGTCAAATTGAGGAACAAAAGTGTTGTGAAAAGTCAAATTGAGGACCAAAAGTGTTAAGAAAAATCAAAATAAGGACCAAAATGGTTTTGAAAAATTAAAATGAGGATCAAAATGGTTGTGAAAAATCAAAATAAGGACCAAAATTGTTATGAAAATTAAAAAATTAGGATCAAAACTGTTATGAAAAATCAAAGTAAGGACCTAAAGTGTTAAGAAAAATCAATATAAGGACCAAAATGGCCGTGAAAAATCAAAATGAGGATCACAATTGTTGTGAAAAATCAAAATAAGTACCAAAATTGTTATAAAAAATAAAAAATAAGGACTAGAAATGTTATGAAAAATCAAAATAAGGACCTAAATTGTTAAGAAAAATCAAAATAAGTACTAAAATGGTTGTGAAAAATCAAAATGAGGATCAAAATTGTTGTGAAAAATCAAAATAAGGAACTGTGATGAAAAAGCAAAATGAGGACCAAATAAAAAAGGACCGAAATTGTTGGGAAAAATTAAAATAAGGATCAAAATCGTTATGAAAAATCAAAATAATGACCAAAATTGTTGTGAAAATTCAAATAAGGACCAAAATCGCTATGAAAAATCAAAATAATGACCAAAATCATTATGCAAAATCAAAAATTGTAATTTACTCATTTGACTAGTTGTTAATCATCTAAAATACTTTCTGAACTTGGAAATTTTTTTCCATAAAAAGAAAAAATTACAATTTTAATGTAACATGCCAAAAGGAGAGTTTTAAATTTGGTTGAGTAAAATATCATTTTTGATCCCATGAATTTAGAACCACTAACGTAGCTGATTTATTTATTTATTATTTATTTCTACTTTATAACAGTTGATAATATATTTTATATTTTGTTAAAATAAATTTCATGTTGCCTGTTTTTTTTATAGATTCAAGGATATGATATCAAGGAACTATTGCAAGTGTCGTGATATAAATCGTATATTATCGGGTTTAAGTATGTACATGTACATCGCCTTCCTTTCTTGATCTGGGATACTGTAATTTACTTTTCTAGGTAGATATACTTAAGACATATATGTATGTGTACATACACACGTTTAAATTTCAAATTAACTACATAATGAATTGGTTATTGTGTGCCTAATAAATGGTGGATGAACACAAATTTCAATTTATAATATATAAATAGTTGACTATTGGTAAATAGATAAAAAAACCATAACATAGTCAAACTTTGATTCTACCATTGTAGTAGTAGAGGTCGATGGGGTCCACATTTGGATCCGGGCCCGATTTCAGCCAAAGTCCGGCCCAAAATAATGCCTTAATATTGATTTTACCATTGCATTAGTAGGTGTTGAAGGGGTTCACATTTGGATCCGGGCCCGATTTTATCATATTTTGTGATTTCAGCTTTCATATTTGAATTCTCGTATCAATATTTCTTGTAACTTTTCTATATTTTGTACTCTCGTTTTTTCATATAAAAATTGACATCAAATCAATACAGCGTCGGGGGGTTGAAGTATAATCTATTACAAATTTTACTATCAAAGTCATATTTCAAAGAAAGATATAAAACAATAAACTTTAAATAAGGTTATGTTGGCGGAATAGTTGAAAAAAAATGGCTATTAATTTAAAACCTAGTTGATAAAAAATTGTGTTTGCTAAAACTAGTTAAAATATTTGGAATGAAACGGTAGTTTGAGTACTTTTTTTTTTTTTTTTTTTTTTTTTTTTTTTTTAAAAGATAGTTGTGACGTATCAAGCGTACTCTAAAGCTATGTTTGGTAGCCTGATCGAAAATATAACTGTTAGCTGAAAAACTAGCTGATAATTGAAAAGTTAGTTGGTAGTAGCCAATAAAAAATGACTTCTAATATAAACTAAGCTGATAAGTGATAAACTAAATGAAATGTTATCATGACTAAATTTTTTATGATCGTTTAATCTTCTTTAGGTATATAGTTAATGTGTTGTTGAATAATGATGAAAATCATATTTGTTTAGATATTCTTTGGAATATAGTTACGAAGGGTAACGTCGCAATTATAGTATTTCTTATTAAAATTTGGGGATGAATCTTCGTGATCAGTAAAGCTTTTGTGATTGATAAGATGCTAAAACGGGGAACCTTAGGATAAAGTGTTAGTAGTATTTTTTTTCCCTTACCTTTATCACATTTTATTCTTATAATTAATTAACCTGTTATCATATCTAACTGGCAACCATAAAAAAATGTTTTATAAGTATTTACATACAAAATATTAACGTACTTAAGACGTTTGGTTCAAGTATGGTTGTTTTTTTTATTATTATTTTTTTATAACAAACAAGATTTCAAGATATTTAATAATAATTTCGATATAAAAAATTACTTATAAAATATTAACATACTTGAGATGATGCAACCTCACATTTCAATTCTTAGAAGCCTTAGATTTTCTAAACACGAACCTAAACGAATGAACAACAATGTTATCAAATAAAATTTGCTTATGATACTTTTATTGGCCAAACAAAAACACATTCCGATATGTCATTAACACCCATATGACTGTGACAAAAATCACATCAACAATCCCCTTTTCAAGGTGAACAACATGACAACCCTCAATCCAATCAAATGTGTAAGAACCGAGATTTTTGTGTATTTTGATGTAGAATGGTAATCTTGTGTAAAAAGGGTATTTTGGGTCTTTTTGCTAAAGTAGGGATTTGTAGAATGTTATTTAATACCCTTTATGTGTCCATGAGACGATTAGAAGATTATAAATATATTATATTTACTTTAGAATGGAATGTAATTGATAGATGTAAGTTTGGGGTTAATTGCCTTGAAAAAAATGAGTGAAATAGCCAATTCCAACTCCACCACAGCAATGAGATGTTTGCCGCGACGTGGTGGTCAAAGTAGGTTGCCATTGAGTACTAGTCACCATGACGTGGCAAAAAGAAGACCACAGAGTCATTTGATGCACTGCAACGCGATGGAAGCCTAGCCACAATGCGGTTTCAAATAGATTAAATCCGAGTTTAGGGCTTATTTGCTAAAAAACGTTCCCATTTCTTATATAGCAAAGGTTTTACGATCTTGAGGTTAAAGGAGGTTCAAGAGGCGTTCAAACTTGTTTATGGCAAGGTTTAGGCTTCTAAGGTAATTTTCTTCTCCATTTTTAAGCATTTTAAGGCTTTAATGGTGAATTTCGAGTTTAAGCTTCTTATGCAAGATTTTTTTAAGTAAACTTGTTATAATGTATGATTAAGTGTTTGGAAGCTTAATCCATGATTTTTACGGAGTTTTAACAGTTAAAACCCATGTTTTGATTCTAGGGTTTGAAACCCTAGAAAATGGAAAATGATGATGAGGTGTTCATGTGGTATAATCTTAGTTAGGTTGAGTGTTTAAAAGCTTTATTGGAGTAGTTTACCAAGTATTTGGATAGAGGATCGGCATGTTGAAGTTTTACCCAAAATATGAGTTTTTGGCTAAAATCTATAATGACATATTAATGGATTAAGACATGTATAAAGGGGATTAATGTGTATGAATGTTATGTAACACCTGTTCCAGGTATTAATCAATTTATCTATTTTTTTTGGGTTTTGTGCATGGACTCGTGAGTTGGGTGCTCCAACTCGTCGAGTAGAGACTATTATAAGGATGCATGACTTGGATGCAACTCGACGAGTTGGAAGACCCGACTCGTCGAGTAGGAGCTATAGGAAGAAACCATAATTTTCAGGGGTTACCACTCTATTTAAAGGGCTTATGGCTCATTTACAGCCTCCCTCACCGTCTTAGCAACCCATGTATGACTACTTCGTATTAGCCATCAGCCTAAGGTATAATATCGTGAATAGTAGATCCAACATCTACTTCGTATTGACCATCAGCCTAAGGTATAATGCCGTGAACTTGATCTCTGTTGGGGTGCAAAGTTATCCATGTATGACTTTGTAATGTGTTGACTTTTGTAAAACCCACTTGCATGTGGTGCATTAGCCTTTTGACCAATGAGTTAGAGAGAGTGAGAGAGAGACATGTAAACACCTCTATATAAGGTGGATTTAGTCCACTTGTAGAGGTGTGTTTGAGAGGTATAAAAGTGAGTGTGTAAGTGTGTGTTATTTATATGGATGTAGATCTATGTCCGTTTTTGTAACACCATACATATTCAATACATCTCTTGAACACCCAAATCACCATGCTCTTGTGCAATCTTTAATTCCGCATGCCAAACCATGTTCTTGAAGTCACTACAATTGGTATCAGAGCAGGTCTTTAATGATCAAAGTGATTTGTTGAAGAATGATTATCGGTTTGGCAAAATTTGTCACAATTAGAGCATTTTTGGTGAGTCTCTCACTATAATCTCTCTTAATTTCATTGAACTCGTGCGTTGTGTTTTTTATTTGTGATCATTTGACTCGTTTGATCAAATTTTTCTTGAAAACCCATTTGTTATGATCCAATAATTTTTTTTGTTGATCAAGATCTGATCCAATCTTATATTTTTTTGTTTGATTTGATTCTCAAATTGCAATTGATTGTTATTTGATTTGTTAAATGTTTCGAAGCTCAAAACAAATTCCGTTTGGTTAACTGTTCATCAATCGTTTTGATATAAAGCTAAATCTTAATATTACAATCCATTTAGCCCATTTCAAACCGATTCAGCCCAAAATCACTTAAGCCTAGAACTATTCATTTAATCACTTGTAAAAGCCCGAATTCTTTTCCAGGTTATTTGTTAATCTGATTCATTTGTAAAACGCTTCAAATACTTGTACGTCTTATTGTTCTTGACCACGAATTCGATTTCATTTTGTCTATCTTGATAATCGATTCTTGTAAAGTTTGTCTTGTGAGTCGATCTTATTTGATTCATATAAATCTAAAATCAATTATGATCAAGATGTCAATTATTGATTCAATTGAAGAGTCAATTTCAAAGTCAAAGCTCGATTCCAAGATTCAAAATTAAAAAAAGAAATTCAGAAGGATATGGTTTCATTTTGAGTATTGATTATGAGTTTGAGTTAGTTTTTAATGGTTTTGATGTCGATGCATGTTGGAGTCGATCAATGTTCGCATCAATGGTTTGGGAGTCAAACTGTATTTGGATTAAAATGCATTCGATTGAGTTTTGATCTTGAAATCGAAATTTGTATTAGAATCGAGTGGGTATGTGAATCAAGTTCGCATATCTGGAATTGAATGATTTCGAAGGAGATGCAATCGATTTCGAAAGTTTGGAGTCTGGTTTGATATTTTTTCGATTATTTCTGAGTTCTTGAATCAAAAATTCGAAGGGTTAATGATTGATTTGGGTTAATAATCGACGTCCTTGTTGATTAATAGTGAAATCACAGTCAATCGATTTCAACATGTTGGGTTCGATATCTATTTGTATTGACGAATTTGGTTATTTGGTATCGAAATCAGCTTTCATTTTTGATGATTAAGTTGATTTGATTTCGAATGATAGTTGGGAAACAATGAGTTTGTATATAGATTGATGTCCAGGGGTCTAAGTCGATTTTGGTGTCAATGTGGTTTTTGATCGATTGTTGGTCAAAATCGACTAGGATAAGCGATGTTCAATAAATGGACTTGGATTCGTTGAATTTGATTCGTTAGTTGGTGTTGATTTGACGAAATATTTGAATGGTAACTGAAAGTTCGAAAGGGTTGTAAAACGAATCGAAGGACTGTGGTCAATGATTTGAATCGATTAATATTAATAATAATAATAATAATAATAATAATAATAAAACGAACTGATTGAAGTCGATTCCCGAAATGTTGGAGTCATTTATTTGTTGATGATGTATAAAGTTGTAGAACGAACTTTGGGAAGTCGATGTTTGAGGTGAATGAAAAGAGAACGAATTTGATTTTGATAAAAAACGAAGCCGAATGATTAAGAGGTTATTATTCACCGTTAAGGGTTCGATATGCTTCGTTTTCATTAAATTGGTGTTAAAAATCTTTGGTTAATATGGTCTGAGTTAATATGGTCTGAGTAGTTTCGTTAAATTTGGGGAAGAAGAAAACATGCAGTTTCGAAAATGGTCCCTAACACTTTCGAAAGTAAGAAACCTTTTGCAAGCATTCGACATTTGGAGTACTTTTTCGACAAGTTTGTAAAGAAAAAGGAAGAAGTTTCGAAAACAGCCCCTAAA